GTCGTCAATTCGATCAAATTCGACAGAACATCAGCCATACGTCCACTACCCTGTAAATAAGTTCAATTTAATTGAAATATCATTAGAATTTACTGCTTTTCCAACTCACATGAATAATAACAACTGGCCGACCGTTATCAATATCGAATTGCACTACTTGGGGTGTTTTAAGTCCACCCTCAACAACGATCGTCACAGCATAACCTATTAGAGTTCAATTAATCTTTGTTGAAAATTCATATTATCGAAAAAGACTTCTTTACATGCATGACTATTTTTATCGTCACAGACGTACTGGACAAAGCTACTTCGTTGAGAATCACTTAGATATTCATTGAGATTTCCACTATCAAATAGAATGGAATGAGTATGATGTGGATCGAGTGTTTCTTTGTCTTCTTGTACATCGTCCCGAATCTGTCGTTTGCATGCTTCATCCGATGCACCAATCTTGAATAAAGAAAATGATATTATATTTTACTGGATATTTGCCCTGTACCTGACTAGCTTTCTTTAAATCAATTCGAGTTTTCTCATTAATAGTACCCCACATTGTCAAACCGATACAAACAACATCTTTGGGATGTCGTCTCAATAGTCGATACTGGGATATACCTTCGCCGACAAGTTTCGATACTCCATTATTAAGACCGGTTGTTAAAATCCACGCATCTAATTATGAATAACGAAAAAATAGAAAAGGCAAAAATTTTGAAAACAACAGATAAACATGCCTGCAATAGTGGCCACATCGACAATGCCTCGCATGAATTCCTTTTCGAGTCGTTCGGTTAACACGAAATATTTGGCACCACCATATACGCTAATAATTATTGATGGTTTTTTCCCGTCACAATCGCTCAATATTAAAGGATAAAGCACTGCGGCAGTTGTCTGATTGGAACATCTTATAAACTTGCAACCACTTTCCAAAATTCCATAGTATTTCAGTGGAGTTTGACAGGTATATTTAGGACCATCGACAAATGCAAATGTAGCAGGTGTATCATTAGTTATTACGCAGGTACCATCGTTGCTGTGTCGTCTAATGAGACGACCACAAGGGCATGTATCATTCGGATTTTGTGAACATGACTCTCGGTTGTATATTTTACAAGTTTTACCCTTGATTTTGTCTTTATCTTTTGCGTCAATAGCTGCAACTGCCTTAACCTGATCCAGCCATGTCGACTGAGGTAGTGTTTTTTTATACTTTTCAAGAGGGATTGATACACCGGATCCGTTTTGCATTTTTGTCTTTTGTATGTCAATAATTAAAACATTTTATCTACAACTGAAAATAATTTCAATAAGCCGTTTTTTTTTTCTTTCATAAAAAAATTAATTCGATAGATTTTAATCATCGGTAAATCGAATGGTATTTTCAAAGTTTTTTGGGGAGAAATTATCAAGAAAATGTCAAATAAATGCAATCATTTTCATGCTTGTTTTTGTCCTTATTACTCTGGTTTTCAACTAAGCTTTGGAAAGTTTATGCTCGCATGTGTTTAACCATTTTCAAAGAAAAATAATAGTGTTAGAACAAAACTAGTCAATATATTCTGTACCGAATTAGCATCGTATTTTGAATTTTAACTATTTTTACCTAATCACATTTTAGTTATTGTTACATTAGCAAGATGTATCCTTCGTACGTCTTCCTTATTAAGATCACATATTGTGATACTGTTTCGCTACTTGAGGAACACTCAGAAAATTGTTCTATATCTGCAGACAGTCGATCAAGTGATAATGGTATCAAGTGTAGAAATTATTTTCCTTGTTATTATTGAGAAATCAACAGTATTTTCCATTCGGGGTTGAAAAAAGGAACTTTTTTTTGTTTTTTCTGTTTTTAAATGAAAATTAAAGAATGATCTACTCAGCTATCTAATAAGCTTCATGTATGACTTCAACGATTAGTAAAAGTATCGAGTAGATTTTCTATCAACTATTTAGACTATTCAAAACTCATCTGACAACATATTCTCATATCATTTTCGTTGAGTCTCTTATTTATGTGATGGCGATCGAATGATCGTCTCTTGGTAACGCTTCAGTTTTACTCATAAAAAGAAATGGTAGCTTTTTAAATATAGTTTTTGTGAATAAAGAGCTTGAAAAAACTGTTCTTAAGACCATGCATCGAGTTCACATGTTCTTATTTTTATTTAATTTAAAATCATTCGTAAAATGCAACAAACAATTTTGTGCACTGCTTTATCAAATATATCACTAGATCTTTTCAGATCAATAGACAATAAAAGGAAAAAAATGCAAATCAATATATGCAAGGAATGAAGCGATGATGCAAGAAACTTAATATGAATGTCTCTATCAAAATAATATTCTGAGAATACTCACGACATATATGATCGTATCTTAACTTTTAGATTTCTGTGATATAGAGACTAAACGCACGGAAAACAATTAGCAACATTTAGGTTACAATTTACTAGATGCTTTTTTTTCTTACTTCAGATGAAAAAAATCGGCATGCAATGCTTAGCATACTGAAAAAAAATCTTTAACAGAAAAACCTTTTAATACTTTGACTATGTAAGATTCATTGTTGACAACAGTTGCAATAGTAACAACCTTTATGTCTAGAGTAGAAAATGATAGAGGACGCTGTTTGCCTATATAAGTAAGACAGTGCAAAATAAGTCTGACGTCTTTTTTTGAAATACATCTCTGCATGTTGTTAAACACATTGAATAAGGGTATTTGTATTGTAGACGTGAGCGAATTCTGTACTATTCAAAAAGAGACAGATACTGCTTGTATTTGAAGTGCTTCTTTGAGAATAATCCATCAGCTTTATTAATTCTTAATGCAGGACGATAGTAATGTAAATAATGAATTCACGTATGATATAGAATCGGCGGGTGTCGGTGTGAAAAAAAAAGGCGATCCACTTTTGCATGCACACCACACTCATTCACACACACACACACCCTTTTTATTCGGTTTGTTGTGCGGTTTTGCCACATTTATGTAAAAAAGTGGTTTAAAAGTTATTTCGATCAAAGTCGCCCATTGTAAGTAAAAAATTTGAATTATTGAGCGTTTATGAATTGAAAACTTTTCATTCGAATTGTTTCATATCGCATTAGATTTGATTTTTCTTTGAAAGTTTACTGTTGTCAACTATATAATTTAACAAGTGAGGTATTATTCTTTCTTTTCCTTGGTTCAATTTATTTAGACACGAAAAATATTCATTTCAATTGAACTGATGCTTTTAGTTGTATATATTTTTTGTAATTCCGATTATAATGCGAAAATCAATTGACGAGAAAAAAACATATAAAGTCTATTATAGATAAGTACCACACGTTTACTTCTAGGGATATGGTGATGGGAGAAGGGACAGCGTACGCACCTTCCACTTTTTGGAAATTTTTCAGTTTTTTCCAGTCATAATCGTATTTTTTGTTAAGAAAAAAGATTTAAAAATTAAAAAAGAACATTCAGCACTCCCACTTTTTAAAATTGTATATGCATCTTTTCAGTTCTCAAAAAATTTCCTTGCATCTCTCGTACTTTTTCTCTTCGTCACATCGCTGTCTACTTCACATCAACATGCAGGTACAAACATCCATCGTAGAAAATATTTCAGCATAATTAATGAACTATATACTATTGGAAATATTTAATAGAAATATAAAAAGACATATTTAGATTGATATTGAATTCGAAAGTTACTTCTAATAAATATTATTATGATTCCATCTGTTGAGTAACTCTTCTTGAGCAAGAGAATGGTCGATAAACATTTTGTTTCTTAAATCGAAATCATTACCATAGACGAATTTGATAAGCATTATCAAAACAAGCAGCAGTGCAACATTTGAGGCACAACTTTCACTAACTTCATGAAGATAGAAAACATAAGCTTCGTGTTCAACAGAACCCCATTTTTTCCTTCTTACAAAAAGTCAATCTGTAGGAATAGAAGGCAAATACATCTACCATAACATATATATATATTTTCCCATTCAACATAGCCGATTCGTAAGAATAAGACCATGCATACTTCTTTGCAATATGAGTTTACTTATCTCCATTTTGGATTTAATATTGGATTTCTGAGGATAGGTAGGTCTTTTTTTTTAACATTTATTTATTTTTCTTTTTTATCAGACTGTCAATACGTAAGGATACAGGGACAAATTACCATTTTCTTATATGCGCTTTTATGCACCCAGTTAGTAACAATTGAGAACAGATGTAGCTGGTTCAAAAAATATAATAGCTTTCATTCATTATATAATTCATTTTCAGTATTAGGCAGAGATATATTGCTTAACAAAATTCTTTTTTTTTCTCTAACTGTCAATTTATAGGAATAGAAAAAAACCTCTTATTAAAATATACGTACTAATTTTTTTTCATCTATCTAGTATATATTTCATTACACAGGAATATTATTCTACAAGTAAAAATAACTCTTCGGCGATAGAAGATAGATATCTTGTATTTAATATGTATGCAATTTTTTCCATGAAATAGTCAGTTCATGGAGGTAGAAGAATGGATACTTGGGTGTGGGTATGGATGTGGGTGGGGTATGTGTGTGAATGTCGGGGTGTGTGGACGTGGGTGTGGGTGTGCTGTTGTTCATCCGCACTCAGATACGCACACCCGCATCCACGCTCTTCATGTAATTCAATTACTGATATTCGATTTTCAAGGAAAAACTTTTATATATGGTGCGTATCGTGAAAAGTATGATCCTCCTCGATTTCAGAATTGCCGATTCATTATTAAAATCATGCAAGAACTAATTGTTTTTGATTACTTCTAAGTTTCTCTTTATCATTTGACTCTTATTGCGTGAATTTCGAACTATATTCTTGACTTTTGTGTAGAAAACATGGAACCTTGTAAGCAAAAACTAATAAATCGTGTAATTTTTAGAAACTATACGCATATTTAAATCAAATAAAAATTCCGAAAAAAAATAGACTTGGTGATGATTCACGAATGAACCAATATGTATTTTAATGATTACTGTACCATTTTCCGCTTAAAAAAATAGATTTTAATGACTGAAATGGTCTAGTTACAGATAATAATCCATTTTTTAATGACTATTATCTCATTGTTCACTTGACATGACTGGTGAATTAAAACTGGAAAATGCCAAATGGCACGTAGCTGAAACAGCTGCACGTGAACAACTTTTGATTATTACTGAACTTCATCAATCACTTTCTATTGCAAATGCAACAACACATGCGCAACATAATCTCGTCCAATCATCATCAAGAACAATATGTATAAATGTAAAAAAAAACTTTTTGTGTTTAGATGAATTTGAGTATTCACCTATATGGAAATGCAGTTGTTTTCTTTTCTTTTTTTCTAATAAATATAAGCTCTTTTCGGTATATTTACAACGAAAGAATATGTAATAGATATACTATGGCAACCGAAAATTCAAATAAAGAGAAAAACAACCAAAAAGTGTTAGTTGAAATAGGTCTGTCATCGTTTTCATTGCATAATATGTATATGAAAATGCTGTCAGAAAAATATGAACTACAACTTGTAAAAGAACTAACCATTCGAACTAATTGATTTACTGTATGATTAAGATAAGATATAAGGATTGGCTGAGTATTTTGCTGTTTTCTTATGGTTTATAAGTACTAATAAATAAAGCAAAAGTTCTGCATTAGATCTGTTTTTTTTATAAAAGCTCTAACCAGTCATTTGATAGACATTGAAAGTCTATATCGAGCCCTTGGATTGTTACTTTCCAACCAAATAAGCAATTGTTTTTGGAGAAAATCGCAATAACAACATTCTCGAATCGTCGATACCTATCGAATATAGGTACTTACGATTCACTTTCATCAAATATCTAAATTCTAAATATAACCTATTATTCTTCTATGAAAGTCATCTTTTCAGTTCATAAAACGATAATACGTTGACGATTGTGTTTATTTTAACACTTGCTAGTTTAGATACTATATAAAGAGCTTATCTGATAAATATAATACTTGATAATCAACTGATTGTGTAATAACGTATAAAATCAATGCTTAGAAAGTTTTTCAAAGGTTCAAAACGCAAAAATTTGTTATGACACTATCTTCGTTAAGAATCCTGATGAATTTTCGGTCTTTGTTTTCATCAGTTGATATTAAATATTGCTTAGAAAATTACAAAATCAAAGTGAAACATATACCGAGCACAACTAACTCTACTGGGATATTTGAATAAAAGTAAAAACCACTTTGAAATCGCATGCTGGGGAAGTTTCATATGATCAAAATTAGACTAAGCAGTCGAAACTGTTATTTTTCTAGCCTTGCTTTTAGTGATGTCCTAGAAAGCATGCTTGCGATATGTTTCTTTCCTTGAATAGTCGGAATTTCAATAAATTTTGAGTAGGGTGTGGGTGTGGGTGTTTATCTTCTTACCCACACCCACACCCACCCACACCCACATCCACACCCCACCCACACCCACACCCCACCCACACCCTTTCATGCAATTTGGATGTTCATGGGCTGAGATCAATTTTTGAGGAGAGCTGGGGCTTAAAAAAGACAGAAAAGTGTGATACATGCACAAGATGGTCGTCACTGACTATATTACGAACAGTTTTTTTGTCAGCGCATGTGGGTTCAGTAATCGATCCCCGAGCTGAATCCGGTAAGCCCTGACAGAAAATGATAAGATCTAACTTACAAGGGAACATTCCCAGGTGCCCGATCGCTTTTGAGTCGGGACTTTGCGCATCTTGTAGGCCTTGATGAATTATGTCTACCATAGAAAAAGTTCGCCCCCTAGCTTGTTGCTAGTGAGATATCGAGGTTTTAATGAATTTTCTCTATAAGACGCCACATTTGCAACAAGGTCATATTTTTGAATTTTGATCTGAAACTTTGTCCACATAAATAGCTCAGCTAGACTAGTTTGCATAAAAGATTTCAGAACTTTTGGACAAAGTCTCTCCGAGATATGAAGCTTTCAAAAAATGTATGCTTTACACGCTATCTATGGAAAACGGCCTATACGTTGAAAGCTTCATATCTCGGAGAGACTTTGTCCAAAAGTTCTGAAATTTTTCATGCAAACTAGTCTAGCTGAGGTGTTTATGTGAACAAAGTTTCAGATCAAAATTCAAAAATATGGCCTTGCTGCAAATGTGGCGTCTTATAGAGAAAATTCATTAAAACCTCGGTATCTCACTAGGAACAAGTTAGAGGGGCGAACTTTTTCTATGGTAGACATAATTCATCAAGGCCTACAAGATGCGCAAAGTCCCGACTCAAAAGCGATCGGGCACCTGGGAATGTTCCCTTGTTAGTTGAAGATTGAGCGAGTCATGAAGACAAGCATCATTTGTTCATTAATTGTTGTCATTGGCTGTGAATGAAATGAACGTTTGAGTCATGATAAAAATATTATTTAAGATAAATAATTTATTCATTAAACAATCTCATTTGAAAGTTGTATTCAAATGAGAATTTCTTTCTTTGCTAATAGAATTAAACTTCAGATTGTTTTCAAAGTTCAAAAGAATCGAATGCAGTTTAAAGACAAACTTTCTTTTACATGTAGAATTTTTCAGATGACATAGGCAACAACAATGCCATTAATAGCATTTGTAATATATAATATTTTCGCATCTGGATGTAATGCTAAACTACCACTTTCTTCAAAACGCATTGATATAGCACCAGATTTCTTATTAAATATCATAGTTCCATTACCATTACTACTACTAATTAAAGAATCATTGGTAACAATAGGTTGACCAGCACAATTTTGACAAAAATAAATTTGTACAAGTCGACCGTTAGTTGTCAAGACTTGATGTATTCCATTAGCACAAGTAAAATAAGCTGATATACCATCAGTAGATGACGAGAAATCTTGGAATGATCCGTTCACAATTACCGAGGTCCTAGGACAAGAATATGTCCACAAGATGTTATGTGAACTGAGATTAATTGCATGAAATTCTATGGAATTAAAAGTGCGGCGAGTTGACACTAAGGCAATGTCATTTATAATAGCAGGTACCCAATATGTTGAATATCCATCCCATTCACTACTTAATGAAACACTCCAAAGTACAGTGCCATTATCGGGATTAGCTTCTCCAAATGAGCCATTAGATCCTTCACCTGGTTGTGAATTATAGAATAGTCTATTGTTGTGCACGGTCGGAGTCCACCAATCGCAACTGAAAGAGGAACAGAAAACACAAGTGTCAAATATAATGGTACCATTATAAGGATCAACGGCATATAATTCTCCATTGAATATTCCACCAGCCATATAAATATACTTCAATCCTGGTGTCGCTCCATATGGATAGGTAGGCCATTGAGCACCGCCTTTAGCAGTCCATTTGATATCACCAGTAATCAAATTGATAGCTTGTAGATATAATCCTTCTAAAGTACCAACTGACTGTACATAAGTCATGTATTCAAATCCGCCAACCGGCGGTCCTGTGTAACTTGCTGCTTGTAAATCGATTCTATGAATCAATTTACCCGTTAAAGCATTTAGAACAAATAATCTGCTATCATCAGTTGATCTGTTACTGCTAGTTACAAGTAAAGTATCAGCAAATATTGTACTATAGGATAATCCTTTAGTTAAATTATTCATCCATACCAATTTTGGATTTGTTAGTTGATCTGTTGTTGATTCAATAGTCAAATTAATTGGAATAAATCCTGTATGCGCAGTACTACCACCGAATGCCGGCCATTGAATTGAACGACTGGCTATTATTGATTGTTCGAATAATAAGATGCTTAACGTGACAAGACTGATCATAGTTTTGAATAATATCATTTTTTTCCTTTTCTAAAAGAAAGAGTATATGATGCTAAAATTAAAATTAGATTTGTCTGTTTGTTGGAGTCAATCAGAGTGTAGTATAATCCCTACCCATCAAGTACAAGTAATCTCTACCCATATATATTCACATGCATCGCTACGCGTGGACTTGAAGGCTGGGAGCAAAGACTAAGTATCACTTGAAGAAAAAGCTTGATTTATTGTGACTAACAGTAATCAACTCTGAATAATGGTCAAAACCAGGTATACTCAAAGACTAAACTCATAAGTGAATGTATATCTTATCCCGGTTCGAAAATGGTCGAGTCAAACCATGGAATGAATGATGTCTGGTAAGAAGTACCTGCACGAAGAACACAAATGTGCTGTAATATCCAAAGATGATTCTGTGACTACAGATAGAAACGAGTGTAGCCTGCTTGATCGTGAGTAATCATGTGAAATGATGACTAATAATTACTAGTGAAAATAAGTGTTATTATGGGTGGTTGACTATTAAGGATTAAGGGTGACTAAAGGTGGCTAAGGATGAGTTAAAAACGTGTCTCCAACTGCTTATGCTAGGACTGTAGCCCTTAGTCAATTTGTTATCAGCATGAAGATGTGATCAGATACTTAACGCAGCACAGATTCCACTTTTTTCAGTAACGACCGTAGTATGGTAACCGATCAGCTACGAGCCACGATCGCCATATAATCATTTATCTTGAGATGATACCAAGCTTTTTGATTCCTGTACCCTCTTATAGCCTGTTCACAGTGATTTTGGTGAACTTTCTTTTCTCTTCATGTCAGAACGATATTTTATGATTTTCTCAGTTATCTTACACTTTTATGACAAACTAAGATGATATTCAAAATTTTCATCGATTTCGGTATTGAATGAAGGTCGTTTGAAGTATATTGTACAAATTACATTTTTTTCTGATCTTTTATGATTCAAGATAGACTGTAAATGCTCCAAAAACTTTTTATCTTCAAATATCTTGTGTAACCATCCGTTCACGTCTATTTGAATTTACTGAACTATAAAAAATTTTGAAATCACCAGATATTTTTAGAAAATGATTACAGCGCATGGGAAAACTACCTCAAATGATAATCGCCGATCAAGCTGTTATTTATATGATTAAATAGCAAACTTTGGACTAAAATAGAGCTGCGAAACAACTCGAGGCCATGGCCTGATGCTAAAGTAATTTTCAATACCTTTTCACTGATTTGTTGTTTCCATCATTTTGAGAAATTGTGATTTAAAATTTTTAGTTAAAACACTTTATTTAGTCCTTCACTCTCATGTCAATACTACTCAAAGATTACTTTATAAATTTGGCAAACTGAAACCGTTTAATAGGAAATTTTCATTGATAATAGAGAGAGCACTGAGCTTTCGAATGAGGGTCAAATGTCGTGAGATATTATTCCTGTGCTGAAATATCCTCGTCAGACGAAAAAGTCCATATTGATCTGCTAGCTCCTCTGCATGAAGATCGATCAGGATTCATTGAGTTCTATTTGCAATAAAACTATGAGCTCAAACGGTTGAGGTTTAGACAGTTTTCATCTAGATGTGTGACTTTTTATGACTACTGTATTTGTAGTGAGATATTTGTAAGCTATCCAACGTTGTAATCTTTATGCATAATCCGGTATGTTTTTGTCTTTTATCTTTGTTCTCATATTTAAAATTCTTCCATGGAACCTATAGCTAAGTGTCATTGCTACATTGAATTTAATTTGAATTCAAACTTAAAAAAAATCTTTTTCTCACTCCAAGTAGCAGTCCTCCTTTGCTCTTAGAATCGATTTGGTAACAAGTAGGAAAGAAAAAATAATAGACCTGGGACATGAAATTTTCGAGTGTTTTTTTTTTCACTTTTGAAATATAATCTACCAGTCTTACTAGAACTTGCAGATCGACGTGGAGACAATGGTAATTAGAAAGAAAATACAACTGCCGAACAAATTTTTGGTTTGACTTTTATAGTCGTGCTGCGATTGAGATGACAAAAGTAATTATTCTTTAGTCCTTTCAGGTATCGAATTTCCATTCATGCTGTACTTGAGGGAAAGGGAGGTAAAAATAATTACTTTTTGGTCGTTTCAGGTATCTAATCTCTATTCGTGCTATATGCATATATGTCAATGCCCATCCATACAATTATCATGAAACACGTTAATCACTATACTCTGATTGGAGTGACAAAAGTAAATATTACTTAGTTCTTTTATGCATTGATTTTCTATTCATACTCTGCATGAATATGTCAATACTCGCTCGTACTATTAATAGTATCACAGATAGCTACATATGCAGATAGCTTGAGAGAAAGTGAAGGTATGGGATACATTCTTCTTTAATCAATTAAGGAGAGAGGTTCTATGCTTCGCCGTTTCACGTGTCCTTACAACCATTAATAAATGAAATGGTAAAAATCTCAAGTCAATAACTCATGCTCATCTTCTACTTCCCTAAATAGTCGAATCAAGTTTTCATAGATTTTCTTTGTTACAATGAGAAATGGATCATTGAAATTCAACTTTCTCAACACTATGCAATGTTTATATTATTGTTGTCTTCTTGTATGATTGCATTTCTTCTGAATAGTTATTGATGAATGGTTTCATTTATTTGTTTTCCAAAATAGAACATAAAAATCGGAGGAAAAATGATTTACTTATTGTCTACGCCAAACAACCAGAGAGCTTGACTCTACAAAACTGTATTTCGCTTTCTCTCAAATCATTTTTCAAAGAAATGGAAATCGATGAACAAGCACCCTATGACGATTTTTTGCGCATCTATTTGTAGATAATCTTTTCGAATCATTTCAGAAATTATTTTTTCAAAGCAAACATGATCAGAAAATCTACAAATTGGGGACAAAGATGAGACAAGGGAGAAAGCAATTGTTTGTTATTTTCTTATGAAATATAAAAATAATGATCTATGTGTGTTAGTTAGTGTCATAGTGGGCATATGATAGTAGGGTGTGGGTGTGGGTGTCGGTGTGGGTGGGTGTGGGTGTAGGCGTGAGTGTAGGTGTGGGCGTAGGTGTGGGTGTGGGTATGGGCTGTGGGTATGAATATGAGTGGAGTGTTAGAGAAACAAAGATTCACACGCCCACACCCATAGCCACAGCCACAGCCACACCCTCATTGAAATTGAAAAAAAAATAATTTTCTCAATAATAAAATAAAATTAAAAAACAACTGAATAGATACATATGAAGTTTGGAGTCCAGTAGTTCTAATGAGATAAGGTACTTGATCTCAACTATTCTTATGAAAGACTAGGTAGAGTTATAAAATGTCTTATTTACGTATGCTTTGACGTAGATCCTGGACAGCAATCTTGCTCCTCTCTTCTGTTTCTAGTCTATATTGTATCTATTTGGTCTCAATTTCTTACTTACTATTCATTAATTGTTTTACAGTACGTCACAAATAGGAAAAATTTAGTTCAATAGTGTTTAATCATATACACTATTTGAATAAAGTACTTAAGTTGTGCAAGAAATTAGCATTGACTTAGAATTAAATGCATGAAATATAATACAAAGAGATAGGACAACAAGGGTTTTGTTCAGAGATGCAAGCTCAATCTTTCTGTATTGAACAGAATTTTTTAATTTTTATTAACTTGAAATTTAATGAAATAACGTTTCTGTACTCAGCGTTTGGTTCTGAATACGAGTAAAACAACTCCAAGTTTTTTTAGAACAGAAGAATACGAGAAATTTGAGATGTTTTACAAGAAAAAATGTTTATTTATCACATATTTGACCCTTTTATAATTTGACAGCGATCCAATTGAAATGAAATATGTATATTTGTAACGAGATCAACAAGATGTATCAAATCATATATAAAAAAATAAAAACTATTAGAATTTTGCATTTTTTGTATCCTATCTTAAATATGATCAATTTAATAGTGAAAGCATAAGATTTTCGTGCTGTTTAAGAATGAGAACACGTTTAAGTACCAGAAAGAACTTGAATCTATTATCTCACAATGTAAAAAAAAACAAAGCAATTAGTGGCAATCAAAAGCTCGATTAATCGCCTTGGATCATCTACGGTTATACATAACACTCTTGGACAAATATAATTTCCCTTGCTTAAACAATTTCTCAATGATATTAGCTACTTTATATTAAAAAAACATACTATTGTTTGTAATTGATTCTTGTTTTCCTAAAGATACATTAAATTAGGCAATCGTCTCTTTCTAATCAGTCTCGATAAAAACAAAAAAAAGAATGTATCTATTCTATTTTGAAATGATATAAAAAGTAAGATTATACTGATTGATAACCTTTAATTCTGCCAGATAGTTTCTTATTTCTAATCTTTCTTGATTATTTATGAAATGATTATAATATGATTGATGAAAAAATTATTTTACTTATTCTTATCTTTGTATCAATAAAAACTTCTTAATTTTAATTTTCTAAATGTATCTTCAAGATATTAAATTAGATGATAGTTTTCAATCAGAAGAAAATATCAATATAATCCTTAATTCAACTTTCTAAATGAAAGATATTTTCGTTCATGATATAAAAATGAAAATTTGAATACTTTATGAAAAGACAAAAAAGAAGTTTAATATTAATTTTTCATTTGAGTTCATTCTAACGACTAGAGCTGGACAAGTCAATTCACAAATCAAATAAAAAAATGAATATATTTTTGTGATTTATGCAATTAATTCTTATCTACACTAAAATTACTTACGAGAGCAGAAACAAATGAAAAAAGAAATTCTTTCATGTACTTCAGATAAGCAAGGACTAGATGAGAATATATACTCATTTTTTTTTTATTTGATTTGACTTGAACGTTAAAAACCTCTAACTTTCCCATCTCTGCCAGCAACAACAAGAAAATATATGAATCAAATTTTCAAAACATATGCACTGTACTCAAGAGTATGACCTCCATAGATGATTTTCCTCTTTTCAGGTGCTTTCAAATGAAACAAATAATTTTACTAAAAATTTTCGATTTTAAATAAGAGATAATACTTGATCTACCTAAATTTTGAGAAAGTTAAAAATTTCATTTTATTTATTTAAAATTTTTACATAAGAATCAATGCAATGTTAACGATTAATCATTCCCAATTCAAATAGATATCACCACGTACACGTTTAATTGTATAGTGAATAAGTAGTTTCTCATAATTAATCATTTCTTCTAATTTTTTAACCATTTCTTCATTTGCTGTTGAAACATGGAAACATAATGAGCGAAGATAATAATTACGCTCATTGTTAATCGTTAAAATATCTTTTACAAATAATTCAATATCAATATTATCAGCACAATTTACTTGGAGAACATTCACATAAGGACAAAATGTGATAAGAAAAATAACTTCTTCGATATCAGTCATTTCTTCAAGATAAATTTTCCTAATTTTATTGTTAGTAGGTAGGAGACGTTTTTTTTGTTCCATAGTTAAATGTATTTCTGATGATAATGACAATGATGGAATTTGTAATGAATCAAGTTCAGATAATCTATATATAATTTCAAGTAATACAATAAAAAAGACGTCTTCGCAATAAATTTTCAAATGATAAATCTGTGTCACTGCTAACATATCACGAATGTCTATAATCAATGATTCTAGACGTTCAATATCAGGAAGATATATAAGAGTAACTCGAGCAGAGTTAGAAAGTGCAGTAGTAAAATTGATATCATACCATCTTTCTCTAAAAGGAAAATATGAAATTTATTCAATATAAAAGACTCTTTTCGATTTACTTGTATAGTTGAATTGAATATACGGTTAAGTAAAAACCGATTTCAGCTTCAAATATCCATTTTCGTTCAATCCAAAATGATGAAGTGAATTGATTACAATCTTCAAGATATATTGAAGATTCATATACATCATCATGTTGCACATAATATTTTAAATAAAAGTCTTCTAACTGAGGTAAGTTTTGTAAAATTAATCGTTCCCATCGGTTAGCATCAAGATAATCGATATATTCAGTTTCACTAGTAAAACGTAAAACTTTCAACTTGCAATCTAATTTTCTTATAAATATTTCAAATTCATTAAAAGATATATCACACACCCTTAAAGAAATATGTGTCAAATTGAATAACCTAATTGGTAATAGGGCTTCAATGGTAGGATCACTCTTCTTTTGATGTCCAAGATCCAGATGACAAAGTTGAGGTGTATAAGATATTATAGCATAAAGTTCTTTGAAAGTAAAATAATGATTCATAACAAGATGTTCAATACTACTCAATTGTCTCTCGATAGCCATCGGAAGTGAAATTGATCTGTTGCAGCCATATAAGTTGAACCTATTATATTTTAATACAGGCAAGGTAAATATCAATTGATAAACATGATTTAAATTTTTAAAATCATTCTTCGCGTAAATAGTTAAGGAGAAAAGACGAGGCAGAGAGGCTAAATTAATAAGCAGTGAGATAAGTGTATTTGATTTAATTTGTACAAGAACAAGTGATTCGACACGTTTAAGCGACGAATCAATAATAAATGATGAAACAAATTGATTTAAATGCGATGGTAAATCTAAATGAAATGAAAATATTTGATGCCTATTAATAAGTATTAGTTGTTTATAAATGTTCATATATGATTCATTCGATTGTAATTTAAGTTTAATTTTAAATAGAAGAGATGAACCATTGAGAAGTTGTTGAAAACGATAATTAAGATTTGAAAATGCTTCATATATGTCAATACCATCAAGATAATCGAATATTTCATAGAATATATCATTGGATAAATTTTCAATGAAACTTATTGATATTCTATATAAAAATTGAACATCAATAGAAAATTCTTCTTTTCTTGTTTTTTTTTTTGTAAAACTTACCTTCTCTCATCAATACTTCCTAATCGCTTTATTTCTTTATTATCAGAATAATCGAAACTTAATTTTCGTTTGATTTTATCCATATTTATGTTTGAAAATTTAATATGATCTAAATAAGATGTATAAAATATTCACCTATATGTGCAGAAATGTTTCTTTGTATTTTATTAGTTATTCATTGTTAACGAAACCGAATAGTTCCGTGTATTTTTACTTAATTGATGATGTCTTATTAAGCCTAAGAGGAATATAATCACTCACCCATTCATCAAGTTATCGTTGCTTAAGTATTTATATGTGACTGTTAAAAAAATTTAAATCGACTTTGTCGAACACGAAAAAAAACATAATGATATTGTAACGAAAAATAGGGATGGAGCTGTTTCGTTACTGCTACAGCATATATTTTATTGTGATCACAATGACAAACTGTAGGAGTAGCGTTACCGCCATCCTCGGTACAGATGTTAACTACACACTACATCACTCCAGTTATGTCCATCTCATTTTCGACACAAGCTTATATAAGAGAAGGGCATGCAGAACGAGAGAGTTCACACGATATGAAAGAGTGAACGGACAGTTACTATCGGTCATGAGGTCAGGGTATCCAGCTGTATATTGATCGAATGCTTTCTCGTCAATGAACCAATAGCAATAGAACATGCACATAGGTCGTGACCTTATTATTCGCACAGATATCTCTTACATATAGGCTATCCGTAACAATAGAATGACGGAAATAACTTGGTGAGTAAGTGAGTGGCTGTTATTTTTCAGAATCAAATCTTCAATTGGAAGAATAATGTTTATTGAACTAGTTCATCACTACGAACTCATCATTACAGTATGCTGATAGAGAAGACAAAGCATAGCGTGGTAAGTGAATCAATATCAAATGCGCAATGTGTGGCGCCCTCTAAAAACATTACATAAGCTAAACTTGAGATTAAAACAAGTCGATAGAGAAAACTCATCTCTACCAACTGGCATTTTTAGTTTTTTTCAGAAAAAATTGTTTATACCCAGGAATAAACGATACAATCCGATCAATCCAAACATAGGTAGGGTGTGGGTGTGGGTGTGGGTGGGGTGTGGGTGTGGGTGTTACTGTTACTGTTATCACTGACACCTACATCGACACCCACATTCATCCACGCTCACACACCACACACACAGCCACACTCATCCACACCCACACCCGAAAAGAAACAAAAAAAAACGAAGAAAAAGCTAGATAGAGAGTGATCGATGCACATATATGAACCCGTACCGTATGGACGTGTTCGGTCAGGGATGTATGAGACGTGATGATGAATGGAATCCGCCACATACCCTACTTTCTTTATCCACATAAAGACCTCAGTTAGACTAGGTTGTATAAAAAATGTCAGAAGTTTTGGACAATGCCTCTCCAAGATATGAAACTATCAAAGAATGCATACTATCTATATTATCTATGAAAAGGGTCTATATCTTGATAGTTTCATACATCGGAGAGGCTTTGTTCAAAACTTCTAAAATTTTTTATACAACCTAGTCTAACTGAAGCCTTTACGTGGACAAAGTTTCAGATCAAAACTCAAAAGTACAGTTTTGCTGCAAAAGTGGGATATTATAGAAAAAAATCACTAAAAGCTTGATATTTGACAAGGAATACGCCATGAGTACGAACCTTGTTTAGCATAGCCATGACTCATCAAGGTGTACAAGATGCGCATAGTCTCGAGTCAAAAGCGAATGTGCACTTGGGAATGTTTCCTCGTTAGCTGAAATTAGTGTCCTATGTAGTGACGCTACTAAGCCAGCTCTGATAGTTATGCTAGATTGTTTTTATTATCGCGCTGACAAGCATTGGTAATGGGCATTGGAGATTGGAAATATGAGCTCTCATGATTTTTGCATGTTCACAAACCATACATAAATCGAAAGAGTCGATTGAAATGAACTTTATTTACTGGCTACTTGATAAGAATATATGTAGAGACTATTTCGAATTCTTTTATAAAATTGTATTTGACCGAGATATATCTAAACGATGTTTCTCTTTTTCATTGAATACATCTATTTAGTGATAGGCTTACTTTATTTATGAAGCACTTACAAGTGCAGAACTCGTTACTTATCAGTTTGTGATAGTTATCACGATTGATTAAGTAGATTTTCTGGGAAGACAATAATTACGTCTTGATATCAACCGTTAAAATCAAGCACATATAGCTTATTATCGAAGAATGTCGAACATATCGTTTACCTGTAAGAAATAGAGTTAATAAATTATGAAAACAATAGATTTTATCGAGCAAAAGTATTTATTCAATATTTAATTTCAAGTAAAAATAAGATTATTTAATATTGATGAAATAACTTTCCACAAGATGAACAAAATTTAGCTGTAAGATCTTGCCGTGGTGTTCCACATTGAGAACAAAATCCTGAAGACTGATTCGAATATGGTGGAGGAACATAATTATCTTGTCTTGAAAAAATCGGTGTTGACTCAGAAGCCTTTTGACTTGAAGAATACACTGCATTTTCCATGGCTAGAGTAATGGAACGACCAATATCAATCACTAACTGAAAAAAAAGATAGAAAATAAAATACTAAAAACATTTCAGTAAGAACTTATTCAAAGTTTATCTTAGTAGATAGTGAATGCACGATATACTGCTGCTTTTATTTGCCACAAAACTAGATATGAGATCTAATGGCATGAACACCAGTGACGCTTTTTTTCCTTATCTATAGTTTTATTTCATCTCAAAACAAGCAATGCAAGATATCTCAAAAAATTTTCTAAATTTAAATGATATCCGAAAGAAAAGAAAAGAAAAGATATTGATGAGTTCGTTCAACTTACATGATAAACTACTCTCCTGTTGTTGTGATATCCATATCTTCCGAACCAAGTTATCGAAGTATCTAATCGCCAACTACATGGTGTCGTTGATCTTGAAGAATATTTTATTGATTCTTCAGCAATTGCTTGTCTTAATCGTTTTGTATATTGTGATTGTACGATACAACATCCAATAGTGAAAATCATCATTCCCAAAGCGATTAAGGCGATTCCAACACCAACTAATGGAGGAAATCCATTTCTATGAGATTTGACTGCTGTTACTCCACCAACAATAAAGCATATCATGCCACCTACTAAAAACAAACCAAAACCAATGCCAAGAATTATTAGAATTCTATTTGAAGCAATTGTACGATTAATTCTATGAATTGATTCTCGAAATTCATCTTGACTAATTATTCCATTTAGATGAATTGGATATGTAGAATCAAATTCAGCTTTTAAACATCCAGCTGAAAGATCAAAGATCAAAGATTATACAGAACAAGCAAAAATTATGACGTACTCTGAACCATGGGTATATGCACCGAATTTGTATTTACAGAAGTTTCAATCATTTTTCTTTTTTGATAAATCAAAAAATCTAAATTAACAACAATTCAATGTTATAATACAATAATGATGACATCTGGTCAATTAGGACAAATCATACACAAGATTTATAAAGAATAAAACAAATAAGTAGATCGAGTCCTTAACCTTGGATCGCATCTGAGAAAATGCTCATTTCTTTTTATTACATATTCATAATAGATTCGACTCTATCAGCTCTATTCGTATGGGAAGAATGAAAACATAACAATCATGGTCAAAACTGGTTTTACGAATCACACAAAGAGGAGCATCAAATTTCGGATTTCATTTGTTCTATAAGGATTATAAATTTAACAGATTAGAAATATATACGGTTCGATAATATTTCATTATCTGTGTATCATCGACGAGTGAGTCCATATGTATTTGACACCTCTCTACTAGTTCTACTTTATTCATAAACATTTTGGACAATGAAAAGGTAGTGGAATAGAACCAGCATAGCAGATAGAAAGAAATTTAGATCATTTTAAATTCATAGTTTTTAAACTAGAGGAAAACAGTATGCTTTGTACTAGAAGCAATTCTCAGTTAATTGATGGTACTTCTAAATACTTTTGAACTGACTATAGCGTTAAAATATGCTGTTTCTCCCGAGTTTTTAAGTTAGCTGCTTACGTCGATCTTTGGTAAATATAGTTAAAATCCGTTCGAACCGGAATATATCACGAGCTTGGTAATACGTCCTTTGATCATTTGAAATATAAGGATGATGCATGAAGAAACAGTTTATACAAAATAGTGGTTCAATAAACTTTATCCAATATTTCGAGCGTTTCTTTGGACTTACCTCTTTGTATGTTTTTCACAAAAAGATATACGTTCTGAGCCATAGAATACGCACCTAATAGAACACGTTTGAACGTGTGCTGTTAGAGGCATATTTCTATCAGATGAGAATATGGTCTTCTCAACCACGAATGCGTTCGAATTTCTAGCCAAGAACACATAGATAAAGTTCACGTTTCGGTGATGTAGAATATGTTCCTACTGAATATATTTCTGTCGAAGAAAAATTTCTTTAAAGTGAAGCGTCCCGTGTTGATCACATTCTATAATTGTGAGAACGTGTTTTTTTGCAAAAAACACGAAGAGTTTTTTTCAGAGTGTGCGTCCAAGTAACGCCTACGTGTTTGAGGGGAATACTTTTAATAAAGAAATATGCTTTTAACAATTTTTGTAGAGTTTTTTTTTCTCATAAATCGTCCAACTCATATCTAACACGCTTCGAAAACGGTGGAAGCAAAACGTCGTCCACATCGAAGTTAAGTATACATACGCACAAACATAAATAAATTGCAAAAATCATTTGAAAAAATCGGCCATAAAAGGGGATCGTCTGGTATATATTTTGCTTCGCTTATTCAAGGAGGTCTTCTCATGTGTTAAAGGCTTTATGTTTTATTCAATACAATATTTCTTTTTTTATCGTCAATAGAAGGAAAAGAAAGAATAAAAATATACGAAAAGGTGTACCAATTGCTGTTAGATGAATATTGTTATAAAGAATATTAACCCACACGTATGTCAATATAAAACGCATAAAATTTAGAAAGAAAGGAACCAAAATCAACAGACTCTGGTAGAAAAAAGAAAAATGCATCATATTTATAAAACTCGATGAATAAGATTGTTAATATAGGCAAAATAAAGAATTTGAAAGCTTCTGTCTTAGTTGATATTAAGACTAGAACAAACCATCGAATAGTTCACATTAATTAGGGAAACGTTTAACTCTAGTATCAATAGATATTGAGTCGATAAAAAAACACTAGGATAACTTATCTAAAACTGGAAATAGAGCGATAAGGATATTGTGAAACAGGTACAGTTTGTAAAAGTGGATTTTTTATAATTTTAGATGGTTATGTTGCAGATCTGTACGTAAACACTATTCTGAAAAATCATAAAGATCATTTATTCCAATCTCAGTTCATAGTATTATATCTAGTGGCATAATCAGAAAAAGCCTAGTGGTTGAACGCAGCTCTTACAATTTTTAAAAAGGTTCTCAGGCTAAAAAATCCGATAGTAAGATCAATCACAAATTCCTGTGAATTCCCATCAAATCTTATTCTAATACCTATAATCTTATCACTATACCCCTTTGTCTATAATCTCAAAGCAATCCTCTAAGGGCTTTCACTTAAGCTGTTGCAAGCGTAATCTTATCTTATTCCTTCGCTAACTTACTGCTATGCATTGTTTTGTTGTATGATATACTTATGTCTAAGCTGATCTAGATTTGATTGGTGCAACTTTATTTTCTTATTTATGCGTATCGAGATAAAGACATGTTTGGCAGAATAAATGAAAACGATCCTTAGCCTCAAAAACTTCAAATTCTAGAGTATGTCGAGTGAAATCGATAGACGAGCATTTACGGATTGTCAAATGGCATATATTTGATAGAAATAAAAAACGCCGAAAAAAAATCGAAAGTACTATTAGTGAACTTCAGTTAATCCTCTCATCAACGCTAGATGAATAATCTGTAGGAGCATACACATTTTTCACTGTTATATAAAGGAGTGCCTTGCAATTGCATTAATAGTACTTTCGATATCTTGAGGATGAGGGTATATCTATATGTGTGTCTATATAACTGGAACTAAGTCTATTCCTATCTATTCATAGATTAACAAGGGTGAGGATATATATATATATATATTTATATGATGGTTAGTGGTAAATAAATCTAAATCTTTTCCAATGGGTAAGGACAGAAAGGATTCTGTTGGAATGTTCCTTTTATATTCGAAATCGAATTAGGCAGCTACTCCATGGACGTTGACTGATGATGTTCGTCAGTTGTACGTTGAGATTTAGATATCTTTCTAGTAACTTTCTATTTAAACTATTTTCTAATCTTTGTCGAGTCTCTACTAGAGAGTCTCTATTGATAATTGTCTTTGGTCATTAAAAAATGTTCGATTTTTGAAAGAAAACAACACCTGATCTTTGATCCCTAAATTCTGATTTACATGGCTTTGACATATGGTTTATGATACAAAAAAATCTCTTAACTCTTCAGTAGTGTCAAACTTGAA